TCTAAACCTAATTTGAACTGTTTCTTGGAATTCATGCTAAATGTTAAGCCTTAAACGAGTTATTATCGTTCTATCAAGGGCTAATGGTAATATTTTATTTTTGTAGTTAGTGAACACTGTCTACTGGGTGGAGTTTTGGTGAGGTCACGTTGACTAGTTGCTCCTCAGTAGTGTGGATCAACGTCCTCCAGATACTTGGTTGGGGTGGGGTGGGGGGGTGCATTTCAGACAAAGGAATGCAAAAGTTCAGTTGGGGATTGTTCATAATTAGTTCTGTATCTTGTATGGTTGAATGTGTGAATGTATGTGCAAACCTGCATTTTCAGTACTATCTTTACCTACCTACTTTATTTTGGTGTAACAGTAAACTAAAAATTTGAAATGAAGAAGACAACCAAAGGAAATGTTTTAAATATCAAAATTACAAGCTGGAATGTCAGAGGAATAAGAAAACTAACTAAACTGAAACAAGTATTAGACCGACTAAAATATCTGAAATCTAAAATAGTTTTTCTACAAGAATCCCACTTGACTGAGCCAGAAATATATCAGATAACTAAAAGATGGCAGGGTCAGGTGTTTCACTCATCCTTTACCAGCCACGCCAGAGGAGTTATTATTCTTATACATAAGTCAATACCATTTCAAATTATAAGGTCAATTAGAGACCCATATGGGAGATATATCATTGCACACGGACATATTTCAACACTAAAACTAAACTTGATAAATATTTATGGRCCTAACAATGATAACCCATCCTTTTATGAAAATTTATTCTTAACCTTGTCAACCCTGGAAGGACTTTATATTATAGGAGGGGACTTTAATTGTACCCTAAACCCAAGTCTGGATAAATCTACTCAAATTGATACCAGTCATACACAAACTAGGAAAATAATTCTTAACTATATGAAAGATTTAAGAATAAATGAAGTATGGAGAGCAAGGAACCCAAATAATAGGGAATTTTCATGTTATTCAAGCACACACCAATCCCATTCACGTATTGACTATTTTCTCATCTCTGTGGAGTTATTGCCTTATGTGGAGAACTGCTGGTATAATAGTATTGTAATTAGTGATCATGCTGCAGTGTCCCTGGAAATTAAAGAAAAATAAAAGTGATCAAGGGGTGAAACGATGGAGGATGC